TGACGTGGAACGACTCTGGCGATGGCTGTTTTTTTTGAAGAACCCGGTAGCACTGGTAGCTACAAGTTGCTAAGACGGCTCTTGCTGCTGGGCTTTCGGCCCTTTGGCTGTGCCCTTCCGCCGGCGGTGAATCCTCATGTGCAAACAGACAGCTTTCACCTTGCGTGCAACCCTTTGGATAAAACAAACACCGGACCGTTGGCTTTCCACCTGGCTTTGCCGTTGATGGTGGAGGGGGATTCGGCTGGGCTTTGCACTTTAGTTTTTCAAAGGTGGCGTTGTCTCATCGACACCTTTGCCCTTCCCTTTATCTTTCCAAGCCTTTGGCTCAGATTTCGCCTTTTACGCAGGCTTTGCCTTTGGATTGACTGGTGTTGCCTTTGTCCCGAGGATGTTCAGTGTCAGCAACTGGCAATGCTTTGTTTCCTATTCTGTCGCCCTTTACGTTTCGAGTTGATTCCTTGTTTGCATCCTCTCTCACTTCAATCAACACTGCTTTGATTTTGTTCATCAACCAGTCCCATGTGGGGAATATGCGAAGTCTCTCAAGCGTCTCGGATCCTATCAATGTGTCTCTGCAACAATTTACACTGTTTCACCCGCGAATGAAGCTATGTGAATTTGGTGGCTTCGCTTGTTTGATGAGACCTCGGAATAACATGAAAGACACATTATAAGTAGGGCTAACGCCCTGATGCCGCCGACCCCCTTGTTTTGGGCAAGCATGCAGCCGCCAGCTAGCTGAACACATGTTTTTCTGCTGCCTTGTGGCCGTGTGCGGTGGAAGCCAGTAGTTTCATTTGATAGATGTTGTTGGGTGTCACGTTGATTTTGCACACAGAGGGAGCTGGCTCCCCAGATGCTGTAGAAATAATAAGACGCGGTGCACGGCGGCTAGGACCGACCGCTGCCGGCCTTTAACGTTGCCTTCGGAACCCAACAGGACAAGGCCCAGGTAGCTGCAGGCGTGCTCCGGTGCTTGCAAGGACCACGCCAAAACCTCGGCCCTTTGCTCGCCGCGTAGCAGCAGGCGCCGGGCAAGGTCCAAGTGATTTTGGCCAGGCAAAGCCGTTGCTCGAGCCATAGAAGGCCCAATAGTGTGCCCCGCTCGAACTCGAACTCGAACTCGAACCCGAACTCGATCTCGAACTGAAACAGTTTTACTTATTGATGAACTCAACCCTGAAAGGATATATGGAAGGAACCGAACTCGAACTCGAGCTCGCAGTTAGAAGTCAACCCGGTGGACAAATAGGATCCGAATTCGAACTCGAACTCGAACGGTGGCCCACAAAAGGCATGCTACGTTGCAATGGCTTCTTTCTTCCTTTTCTAACTTTCGAATGGCCCATCCTTTGGCTACGTTGTAAATTGTTGTAATGGCTCCTTCCTACTCTAAAATTTACCATCGGGTGGCTCACAAAGAGAAATGCTTCGTTGTAATGGCTCCTTCCTACTCTAAATTTTACCCTCGGGTGGCCCACAAAAGGCATGCTACGTTGCAATGGCTTCTTCCTTTTCTAAATTTTACCTTTGAATTGCCCACGAAAGGAATGCTACGTTGCAATGGCTTTTTCCTACTCTAAACTGTATCTTCGTGTGGCCCACAAAAGGCATGCCACGGCAATAGGCTTCTTCCTATTCTAAATTTTACCCTCCGATGGCCCACAAAAGGGATGCTACGTTGTGGTCAGTTGGTTGGTTGCTGCTGGCGCCGCTGGCAGGTGGCTGTTGGTTGGTTGGTTAGCAGGTTTTTTGCACCAGGGAGTTCACACTAAAATGTTGATTTCGTGGCAGGCGCGGGTTTTGGAGATGAAGTGCAGATTTCGTGGCGCGGGGGGGGTTGAAGTTGGGGGGGGCGCAGCGCCCCCCCGAGCAGCGCACCAGATCCTAATAAAGCAAGTGTTGGCTGCAAAGATGAGACTGCGCAGCGCGGATACTTTGAACAGGTTGGTTGCTTTGTTGCTAGCTTGGTTGGTTCCTGTCCTTCTTCTTCTTCTTCTTTGTTGTGGGTCGTGGCGATTGCGGTTGTGGTTGTTGTCGTTGCTGTTGGTTCTCGTTGCTGTTGTTGTGGGTCGGTCCGAACTCGAACACGAACTGGTCCACCCCCCCCCTTAGAGGTCAGTCGTTCGATCCGAACTCGAACTCGAACTGGCCCACCCCCGGCTCTAATTGCTGTCGACCCGAACTCGAACTCGAACTGGTCCACCCCCGGCCGGCTCGTTGTCGATCCGAACTCGAACTCGAACCGGTCCACCCCCCCGGCTCTAAATATGGTTGTCGATCCGAACTCGAACTCGAACCGGTCCAACCCCCCCCGGCTCGATAATTGTTGTCGATCGGAACTCGAACTCGAACTCGTTGTCGATCCGAACTCGAACCCGAGCTCGAACTCGAACCGGTCCACCCCCCCCGGCTCGATAATTGTCGATCAAAATTCGATCTCGAACTCGAACTCGAACTGGTCCGCCCCCCTCTCGCTCGATCCACGCAATCTCGCGCATCGAACACGAACCCGAACTCGAACTCGAACGGGATCAGTTTGAACCACCTGCATGGGGCACGGCCTGAGGCCCAAAAAAGGCTGGTTCCGCCACGCCCTGTTCGGCGTGTAGCAGCAGGAGCCGGGCAAGGTCCAAGTGATTTTGGCCAGGCAAGGCCGTTGCTCAAGCCATAAACCCCAAAAAGGCTGGTCCCGCCACGCCCTTCCCCCATCTAGTTCTGCGCGCCAGCGCGATGCACGGCGGCTAGGAGGGGTGCTTGCAAGGACCACGGCAAAACCTCGGCCCTTTGCTCGCCGCAAGGTCCAAGTGATTTTGGCCAGGCAAAGCCGTTGCTCGAGCCATAGAAGGCCCAAAAAAGGCTGGTCCCGCCACGCCCTTCCCCCATCTAGTTCTGCGGGCCAACGCGATGCGCGGCGGCTAGGACCGACTGCTGCCAGCCTTTAACGTCGCCTTTGGAGCCCTATAGAGAAATAGATTATCCCGGCAAGACCCCAAACAGTGCTGTAAGCAGAAAGTCTAGACGCAGTGGGGTCCAGAGAAGTGATGGTGGTGATGAAGTGAATGTGGGTGTGAGTGAGTGTGGGTGGGAGGGAGTGTGAGTGTGAGTGAGAGTGGGAGAGTGAGTGTGAGTGCGAGTGTGAGTGAGAGTGGGTGTGGGTGAGAGTGAGAGTGAGAGTGAGTGTGAGCGTGAGTGTAAGTTGAACACGGCGTACAAGCGCTAACTTTAGCTGGTTTTTCGGTGCGCAGCCCGGTGTTTGATGTGGTGCGCAGGGTGGCGCGCAGCCTGGTGCTTGGAGTGGTGCGCGCGCACCACTCTGCGCGCCACTTTGCGCACCGCTTCAAACACCGCTCCGAGCACCCCTCCGAACACCATGTGAAAAGATATCAAGATTGGTGGACGCGTTGTTGTGTTTCAGGTTCTGTATGCCAACATGTTTTGGCAAGCGTGCGATCGCTTTTCAGCAAGAACATGCGTTTAAAATCTAAATCCCACGTCCATTGAGCTCCTTCCGTTGAGTTCAGGTTGGGTTCCATTGGCTTCCGTCCCAGCATTGAACGCCCAGAATTTAGCCAATTTTTTTCACAATTCCACCCGCCCACACACTTTGTTTCTCAATTTTCTTTGATTTGGAGTCTTTCCGTTGACTTCCGTTGAACTCCCACTGGGTTCCATCCCGGCCTTTAACGCCCAGAATTTTGACGAGCCAGGCACACTGTTTTCCTATGTTTTTTAGTTTTATTCGATTTGGAGTCTTTTCTATTGAGTTCCGTTGAGTCCGCTGACTTCCGTTGAGTCCCGTTGAGTTCCCATTGGGTTCCGTTGAGTTCCTGTTGGGTTCCACTGGCTTCCGTCGCAGATTTTGACGTCTGAGTTTCAGGGAGTTTTTTGACCAGTTCACCCCTCCACACACTTTTTGCAAATTGTTTGAAGCTTTTTGCTCGGAGCCTTTCCGTTGGCGCCGTTGAGTTCCGTTGACTTTCGTTGAGTTTCGTTGAGTTCCCATTGGGCCCACTTCTCTGCGTGAAGGTGAGTTGGCCATGCTGGACATGCGAGAAAACAGTAACACTGTCCGAATCGACGAAGTCACGAAGATGATCACCCCTCTCGCTGTCGGTCAGCAAGTCGGACTCAGGTGGGAGGACCGCCCGGAGGACACTCAGGTGCTGCGGCTTGGAGAATGAGACGACCTTTCGTGGCTTGCTTTGGGCAGATCGCTCGAGCGCCGCAGCTTTCTCCATCCCTCTGGTATAGGACAACGCAAGAACCCCTTCGCCTTCACCAACAAAGCTGATGTGGTGCTGGCTGCTCAGCAAGACGCGGAAAGACTCATGCAGCTGGAAGGATGTCATCATGAAGATGGCCAGACACAGTAGCAACGCCGTCGAAGCATACATTGAGGATGCAATGAGTGGAGGAATGCCCCGACATGGCCACGATTCTTACCGATCAAAGGCAAGTACAAGCTGCCCTGACCCCCTGTCGCAAGGACCTCGATGAGCTCGAGCGTTGCTGCCCTAGCGAACTTGAACTCAGAGGTGAGGCGAACGTGGGGCAATATTCGGCCCGACTACATGCGCAACACCTTGACGAACAAGGACCATTATTCCACCCAGGCTTGCCTGTTCTGGGAGATGCCATCGAAATGGGCGACCAAATGTGGATGGAAGTGGGACGCTTCTTCCAGGAACGTCGCATATGGACGACGGCGAGCTGAACAAGTTCACGCTGAAGTGTTTTGAGGTCCGACGCCTACTTTCCCTATAGCAACATGAAGGCGAGTGGAAGAAAGGAAGAGTGGTAGGTTGAGTGGATTGTTATTTGAGGAAGTTGTTGTGCATTGGAGTAGCTAGGACACGCCGAAGTCTGTGTCGGAAGGCCTGGAAGAGGGCACAGGAATGGCATCATTACGAGGTGCGTGTCAGGCGCGTGGGAAGGGTGTGTGCCTTAGGTGCAACCATGCTCCTTTCTCCACCATCCAGAGAGTCAAAAGTGGGGGTCTGTTTATGCTAACTTGTTATTGCGGAACAAATTTCACTTATGTGTAATAACTTGTGCATAAACTTGATGGAGTGGTCGAGCTGTGGGTTGAGTCGATTGCCCCCTCATGTCCATTTTGGCTCAAGTGCCAGAGGACAGGGGGGAGCGCCCCGTACCTCCTCGAAAACACCCCCGCCACACCTTTGTAAGTAAAAGTTCCACACCTGACCCGTCACAGGGTAGGCTGTGACATGGTAGGTTGAGTGCATGGTTATTTGAGGAAGTTGTTGTGCATGGGAGTAGCTAGGACACGCCGAAGTCTGTGTGTCCCGGCTCCTGCACGTGCTGTCGGAAGGCCCGGAAGAGGGCACAGGAAAGGCATCATTACGAGGCGCGTGCGAGGTGCGTGGGAACAGTGTGTGTCTTAGATGCACCCTCTCTTCAACCGTGCTCCTTTCTCCACCAACCTGAGAGTCAAAAGTGCGCCTTCCTTGCTGATAGGGTTAGTAGGGTGGGGTCTGTTTATGCTAACTTGTTGTTACATCCTACGAATTCTCAAGTCAAGGCCCTTTGCGCAGAATCCGCAAAGCTGTAAGTCAAACAAAGCCTGTTGGGTTTAGTTGTCCTATTGAGCCCCAAGCGAAAATGCTGCCGAATCATGTGCAAGAAGGCTCTACCACTTGGTGCTCGTCGACCCAATTGACATGACAAAATGTCTGGGAACTTCATGCCCAATTCTCCTTGAAAGAAATCCATTAGGAGTGCACCTAGGGGGTTGTCGAAGCCGGGCAGCAAACCACTTAGATGCACAAAATGCACGTCTCAGAGCCGAAGGGTCTCAGCAACCGAACCGAGATTGCTGAGAGCCGAAAGGCCTTAAAAATCGACAATTGGCACGGGAACACGAGATTAGCAAAGTAGTGGCTGAAGTGGCAAATGGAGGATGGCTCGAATCCTTCACTCACCGAGATACAGGTCCTTTCGATCGTGCTGCGGCTGTCAATCAGTAAGACTTATCACCTACAGCCTAGGCATTGATTTTATGAATCACGCAATTTGCACATTAAGGTTCACAAAACTCCGTGCCTAGAGCGAAAGTGTAGTGGGGATCTATTTTTAATCCGTTTTTGTTCATTTTTGTTCCCCTTGGAACTTTTTTGATGCCGATCCTTTTTACTCTTTTATCCGTCATCCCTCACTGAAATGTTGAAATCTCCGACATTCAAAATTCACTATGCTGTCAAGAATCTATCAGTGCTCAATCTCAAATGCTGCATTTGAAGACTGAAACATGCAATCTTCACCCAAACTGCACTTGTTTTGACATATCAGCGAGCAAGGAGTACCTTTCAGGTGTTGAAGATGGACATGTAACGAACGGGGCGATGGTTGGCAAAACAATTCTGCCTAAACTCTCGAGAAATATGTATATATATATAATATATACAGTTGACATGTAGTGGGCGAAGTGTTTATGAAGTGATGCTTGATGTGTGTTGGGATGATGAACTGGAGAGTGCTTTGTTTTTTCTATCCGTGATATGTCCGTTTTGCCTTTATATAATTAAGACATGCGGCTTTCGAGAATTGGGCATACCTTCATAGTCCATTCAACAGTTGTTTGCTATGTTGAGGCCTTCCCGACTGCAGCGTGTTTAAAGAAATGTTGCTGCAGGCAAAGTTTGTGGTGGGTGGCAAGATGTGGATGTGCTGTGTGAAACTTGCAGATGAGGGTTGCACAACATGCCACAACAGGTCAAGGAAGTCAATGGTCGAAAAAGTTTGCTGCCCAAATTCTAAAGTGAACGTTTGAACCCGAGGCCTTGACTCAAAGCCATACAGCAGCACTCCTCCTTCTTGTTTGTTTGCAGCAGTCCATGCCTGCTATTTTCCCAAACTTGTTTTCGTTCAGCCGTGTTTTGAGTTGGAAGCAGCAAATTTGCATTGCAGCCATGCGACAAACAGCTTATCTATTCCGAAAGCACTTTGCTGGCTCAAGCTGAGACAACCTTTGTGTGCACGACAGAGAGGCGGGAGTGCGCCTTGTGTTGCTGTGTGCATGTAATCAACCATGACCTTGTGCACCTAGATAATGCCAATGTACTTCGTGCATCCTCAGGTCTCAATTTGCGCCGAAGTCATGGGCAACATCATCTCATGCGGTGCCGCAAAATCTTCGGCGACATTGGCAGATGAAGTCCTGGGCCGCAACATCTGTCATGATGCAGGAGAATCAGCCGGGAAGGTGGCAATTTGCCAGGTGAGCGAAGGCAGTTGGATGCCTACACCTACAGGCCCTACCGTTGCATTCATCCTTGGTATCGGTGTTCAAGCACTCTTTCGTTTGAGCAACATGGGTTGCCGGAGATTGTGGAGGCCTGTACAAGATGACTATGATTGCATCATCCGGATTGTGTCCTTGGCCGACTTTGAAAAGAGCAAACGCATTTGGCTGTTGAGATCCCTTTACACAGACTTTGATCCAAGCATGGGTGTGGACGTTCGCGTCATCTCAGTAGTTGGATTGTTCAACAAGGGGAAAACCTTCTTGCTGAACAAACTCTTTGGCCTTCGATTGCCATCAGGCAGAACACAAGTGACCCAAGGCTTGTCATGCGTGTACGTAAAAGATCGCAAGATGCTTCTCATTGATTCGCCAGGTGTGCAATCCACAGTGTCGTACAGGTCTGACAGTGTCGACAGAGTGGTAGATGCTCAAAGCACGGAAACATTCATTTTCGAGCTTGTCTCTCAGATCTCCGACCACGTGATCTTTGTTGTGAATGAATTCACAAATTTCGAGCAGGCCAAGGTTCAGAGTTTTGCGAAGAAGGAGAAAGACCGTTCTGAACCTGCTCCTCGTGAGCTCATTGTTGTTCACAACTGCCGAGGCCGAAAAAACATTCGAGACGCAGATTACTAGATGCTATGAGGGGGTTCCAAGCCACCTCGGCAAGTTGGTGTACACAGCCCGAAAAAGTCCTCCTGTTCACCACTATGCGATTTGCCAAGATAGAAGTCCAGCTGGAGAGACTTTCAACCACAGCAACTTCCGGCTTCTTTTAGATCACCTGGAGCATGCAAAGAAATTGCCTGAGAGAATCGTGTTGCAAGAACTCATCACCACAAAGTTTGACGACTTCATTCCCAGATTCTTTTTGAAGGCTCCTCTTGAGAGCAAAGTCGAGTACCGTGAGCACGAGACTGAGGAGCGCATGGAGACCATTTCTGAGGAAACCGATCTGGAACAAGGTGACCGAAATTACCAGCGCTTGGGCTGCTTCCGGATTGATTGCGAGAAGCTCGAAGTGAAGCGACAAGGTGTACTTTCAGAGCAAGGAGAGGTCACTTCTTTTGACATTACATTCAACCCAAACCCAGCGGTCTTTGACAAAAAACTTGGTGATGGATATCTCTGGCGGACGATTCAAATTGAGTGCCCAGGGGTGAGGGAGGAACAGGTACAGTGGGAGCAGACAGGCGACGGTCTCAAAGTGAAAATTGAGAAATCCACATTGGTGGATGAGGGAGCAGTCATACCCATGGAGGGCTATCCCCTACGCCAGCAGTCTGGCCGTTGGCAGAAGACTTTTGAATTCCGCGATGGACCTTTTGAACTCATTGAGGAAGAATGCTCTTTGCAGTATGGAGTGTTGAGGCTGATTCTAAAGAAGAGCTTGGTGAACAAGTGTGGCGGGCTGAGAAGCTTCCAAGCATCCCAGGTTAAACCGGCTGCATCCCCCTTACCGTCTTCCCTTCCCTCCGAGGCTGGGGGTGCGTGCCAGGCTCAAAACCCGGATGCCCATCCAAGCGCTCAAGAGTCCGCTGCCATGCAAAGTGGGCTGGCCGCGGATTTGGGGAATCATTGTCTCACCAGCACTTCCTGGATTCTGACGGATGAGGGTCCCAGGAGCGCGGTCGAGGTTGCAAAAGGTGAAGTTGCAAGTGTCACCTCTGTTGCCTTGGAGCCAGAGGCCACTGCAGAATGCCCAGAGCCAAAAAACGGCTCGTCCCCCGCTTGAGCGGGGGCGCTACCGTGAAGTATGCACGCCTAATTAGCGGAGTCCGACAAAGGCTCATTGCATTTTTTTGGGATGGTGGGGAGTTGCGTGTCACGGCTGACCATGCCTTGCTGGTTCGGGAACACATGTCCTGCTCTTGGCGAGTGGTTGAAGCATGCAAGGTAAAGCCAAGGGATGAAGTGCTTGTCTACAGCTGTGGAGAAGTCTTGACTCCAAGTAGCACGCCTGTTTTGAATGTGGAAGAACGGGAGGAGCTGGAGGATGTCATTGAGATTGAGATGGCCTGTCCAGCAGATACCGTACTCGTTTGTAGCAGCCCTGGCAGGCCTTATGTGGTGGTCTTTGGAAAGCAGCCCGATCTTCGTAACTTCGATGTTCTGCTCATGCTGCTCTCGCGCCAACCAAAAGAACTGGATGAGGCTCTCGGGACAAGCCAGAGCCTGCGGACATGTAGCTTGGCCTTTCCAAGGTGCAAAGGTTGTCATTGCATCTCTAGCACAAGCGACAAGATGGAGGCAAACTCTTGCATCAGCTTTTTCAGACGAATGTGTCTTATTTTCTCACAACCTTGATGTTTGGCATGGATGATGACCCTTTCTGGTATCTGAGGTCAGTATTTGGCTGGAGATTCTGAGCTACAAAGTGGGGCCAAACTCTACCTGGAACCGCATCATGTCCGTGGAGTCAATCATTTGATTCGCCATGGAACTCTAAGGCCGCCTAGTACGGGGCAGGTTTTGCCCGGAAAGTGTTTGGACATGGATCAGAGGGAAGGGAAGACTTGCACAAATGTACGCACACATCATCCATAAGAATGCTAAAGTTGATACCGCTTAGCAAGCAAAGACTTTGTTGAATGTACATATTGGCCTTTGGTCTGACCATTGTCATGATGTGGAACCTGTCAAGAAAATGCCTGAACTTAGGACCCGGCACCCAGCTCCACACAATATATACTGTAATGGGAGCAACCTTCGGCATTCCAGAGCAGACGCAAGTTCACAATGACATGGGTCGGTTTAACTAAGTTACGTGCTCAGGCGGTCCTACGTCAGTAGTCTGTCAAATCCCAGTGACGTTTTGACTTCTCCTTTCGTATTGCTTCCAGGTTCAGCCCAAGGGGGAGGCACATCATTTTGAGCGCTAGCTATGAGGAGGAGATCAGGCGAGTTGTAAAGTCTCTACGAAAGAAGGACAACGTGAAGGTCACCTCTTGCAGGAAGCTTGTGGATTGCATCGACCTGTATGAGCCATCGTGCAATGAGAGGCTTGTCACGCTGAATACATTTTTGGCCATCGAGCCTGTACCGAGTGTGGTAGAGACCACAGTGTCCACCACGGATGCTCGAAGTGCTACAATGCATCAAAACCCACGGTAGCAGGCCGCACGCCGCCTCAAAACCATCCTTTCTCCGAGCTTTTGCAGACTCCATGACTGTATAGCTGAGAAATGTAGCACCAGCACCAGGTTGGAGCAGTTCAACAACATCATATAAGCGTCATTAAACTACCTAGGACCTAGGGCCACTACCTATTTGCTGTCATTGTTTTGCTGCTTGTCTTTGTTGGACGCCTTTGTCAACTTGATGCCGGAAGCCTCCTGAAGGGGGAGACTGCCCCCAGAAAGGAGATGTGAGTTGATAATGACTGTGCGCTTGCAAGTGTATGTTGACTGGCATAGATGGATTTTGTTTCGATTTTTGTCGAGGAAGGCTCACGACTCACATCTTTTTCAGTTATTATTTCCTAAAATCCCATGGAATGGCCAACGTGGCTGCTTTCCAGTTGATCAGCGCAATTCCTCTGCAGTGCTGCTTGGGGTTCGCAGGTCAGCGCTTACATTCCTTACAGCCCGTGTTCCTTGGCCCAACTCGCGTGAAACAAGGGACATTCGCATTGGAGTTCCGCTTGCGGCTGTGGACTTTGCAGGTTACGAATCATGCATGGATCCTCGCTTGTTTGACATGCATGTAGTCACATGTAGTGGACAGATGTGGAAAGTCTATTGCACTTGTGAGCATGTTGCTATATGACGCATCCTTTAGTCATTGCTTATGGGCCGGGCTCTTTTAGCTGCAGAACACAACGATTTGGGAGGGAGTTTGGACATTGAAGTCCATGGCTACGGTTCCAAGCTCAGATCTCTTGAAACGACAAGACCTGAAAGCCAGCAATTCTGTGCAAATCAAAGGTTCAAAAGAGCAACTAATACAGCAAGAACAAGCTTGGGGTTGAACTTGAATTTCCATCAGAATCTAGAATTAGAAACATCTAGAAACTTGTTTTTGCTGTGTCGTACTGCATACTATAGTTGCTTCGTGCTATTGTAATAGCTTTAGTTGTTTCCCCGCTTTTTTCCATTCTGCCTAGCAACCGATCAAATAGAAACAATACCAAATTTTGCAAAGAAGATGAGCTGCATTTGATTTGAATCAGAACCTGTGTTGCTGCTGAGTCAGGCAGTTCAGCAGCTGAAGGTGCCTCAGGCACAGTTTCGTCCCTCTTGGTACACGAGTGGGGCTCAGCGGGCCAAATGGCAGACTGCGTGTTTTCCGCCAGCTTTTTGTGGATTGGTGACAAATGTGTGACAAATGCATTGTGCGAGTTTGTTGCAACTTAACATCAGTATCGTTATATAAGTTATATAGTATTGCCAGCAACCAGTACTGTGCAACTTCGGCATGGGCTTGAGTTCTTTGGGTATGATGGGGCCTTCAGGTAAGGTAAGACAAAGGCTGGGAGAACATGTTGAGGAACGAAGACACGAGAAGATGAAGAGGCAAACGGTTTAGGCAAGTTGAAGAGGCAAATATGATGAGGCCAGACAAGACGAGACACCGTCAAGTGAAGAGGGGCAACAAGCATGTTGAAAGAATCAACGGGACATGACATTTGGACTTTGCGATCTTTGCGCAAGCAAAGCAGCAAGTGTTTGTTCCTTGTGTTAAAGCAAACTAGATTCCCCCCCCGAAAAGTGGTAAGATTTGGTAGTTTAGGCCATGAGGGATGCTGAATGAGTCCATCTCCACGCCATGTGAGGTTGACTGACGGGTGGTCTCTTCAAGTGTTTGCCGACATCGACCCAAGAGAAGATCTGGTTGTCATTCGTTTGGAGCTGATTCAATTTGTTTGGATTTCCCTCCATCCAAGGCCCATAGAACAAGGAATCGTACTCCCCGAGTTCATAGATGGCAGTGACCCCAGTGGCTCTGGTTGCAATGTCTACTGCCATACTTTGGTCAACACTGAGGTGCCAGTGTAGGTGGAGCACCGTCCAGGTTCTATCACTATGCTGCTCAGTCCTTAGCCGATCAACTCTCCAGGGTCACAGCCTAGCCAAGTGGTGAACAGAGAAATTCCGATATCCGTTTCCAGTCACATCAAGCTCTCGGCACATCCGAATGGCTCTAAGAGTGCTTCTTTGACTCGAGGATGCCACTGAATCGAGCAACAGCGTGACCCCGGAGATTCGGAAGTTCCTGCAGGCTTGTCGAACCGATGTGGAGGAGGCGAGCCCTGAAGCCTTTACCTTTCCACCTGGGTCTCATCCAGATCTCTTCTGATAGACTCACCAGCTGATTGATCAACAGGCAAACACGACATGTACCGTACAACAGTTTTCAGCAGAGCTTCAGAGAAGGGCATGCGCATGCTGAATCCCATGCTGAAGGTTCGGGCACTTCTGGATGCTGGAGCTGATGTCTACCAGGTGCTTTGACAAACTTCATGACCTGCCCTTGTTTCAGTTTCAGTGCCACTTTGCCTTCTATATGTCCGATATCCCTTGTGAAAAAGCATCCGACAAACGACATCTGAAAGACCAAGTTCCAGTTGCAAGTTACAAACCCTGATGATGTTGCTGACCGTAGCTATATACGCTTCACCTCTGCCTGAAGGCGAATGCGAATGGCTTCTCAGGGCTACACATGGCTGTTTCAAACCTTCAGACAGATGTCGCGCAGGCGGGCTGAACGGCAGTGCTTGCACCCACAAATTAGGCAAGAGTCACACTCAGCAAGTGCCGCTGTCCCCTGCCGGTGTCCTTTGAGTGATTCAAGTGGAGACAAGTGAGTCCTGTTTGGTTGGACTCGGTTGGACCAAGTTCTGGCGGAGACAGATTTGCGATTTCTCTGAGAGTCGCTGTCGGCGGTCGCGTTTCACGCGACGTGGATGCATGTTGGGTGACACCAAGTGACCACCCTCTGTGCCAGCTTCTACTTGAGCGTGGCCACGATGTGAACGCCATGGGCTTGGACTGGTCTTGCAGCTTGGGGATTGAAGCTAGCAGTGGTGGAAACTGTCAGATTCAAATAAGATCTCTCAGGGAAATTCTGAGTCTCCTGGCCAGGAAACACACAAACTATATATAACTTGCGTAGCAAGTGCAACAAGCACGGAATGTGCGGCTGACAGGAGCCAATAGCAAGGACCCAAAATATAGGTGAACATAGCTCTGTAGACTGTTGGGCAATTCTTTCTGTGTTAAGGAGTGTACAAATGGGGATTGACTCCACAAGAACAACATCTTAAAGAATATGGATATACTGATATACTTGCAAGCCGACAACCCCCAATGGGGTAAAGAGATACGAGTGTTTGTTTTGTTCCTTTCGAGTCTAGAAACAAGTTTGAACAACAAGAAACAAAGAAAGATCTATATAAAGGTCAACAGTTTAGGCCTTAATTTCTTGTTGTTCACACTTATTTCTTTTTTTCGGTACTTCTTTCTTATGAAGCCAAGTTGTGCTACGCATGAGAGGAGGAGTTGAAGTGAGGGTGTTTTGTGACGCATCGGCATCGGGACTTCACCAGGTCATGGAGGCCAACGGCTTTACGCCAGGGAGCCTCAGTCTCCAAACTCCAAGTTGGGTCTGGGCCGTTTGGGTCGCCGGGACTTCATGTCATCCATTCGTCAGCTGTGGTTTGTGAAGGCCCTTAGATTACTGCGTGGATGCTGGCTTTTCAGCAGCTGAGATTGGTGGTGCGGACCTTGGTGCTTGTGTGGTGGAGTGCAGTTGCAGCATGAACTTGCTCATCGAAATTCTGCAAGAAGAGCAGTCGGTAGATGTTGTCAAGCAATTGACAAACGCTTGGGTTTGTACTGTATATTGATGTGTGTTTTAGAAGCATTGCTTTCCAAAGATCCTAAAGGAACTGTGGAACAGCATAGTACCCAGCGTGTCCTGCACTGGGATGACATGCTTTGGTGATTCGAATCCTTGTTTTTGTCTGCAGCCGTGTCATTGTCCAAGCTTGAACTGAGTCTATGCAGATATGCCTGAGAGTGTCCAGGGCAGTGAAGAAAATTCTTGCTTGGAACAGTACCTTTGAGACTGAGAAAGCGGATGTGAAGTACAGAGTTTTTACAATCAATATCCCCTGCGCTGTTTGCAATGCCGCGACCCAATGTGTCGGCAGATCAACGCGATGCAGCTCGGTGTTGGCTGTGCTGGGAGCGCTTTCCTATTGGTTCGTTGTTTCTTTGTTCCATGCTCAAAGCAGTTTCTTTGCCGATCAACACGACCATGAACCCCAAGAACAAAGGGCTTTCTTTGTGCAAAGTCCTGTGTTTAAGTTGACCACTCTTCCAGCTATGACTTTTGGCAACATCCACTAGATGCAAATCAAAGTCGGGTCATGGAGTCTTTGGGTCACTCCCTGTCTCATGAGAGCTTGGCACCCACAAGTTCAAGTCTTGACCCGCTTCTAATTGATGCCGTGTTTATTGGACGGGTCTATATGTTTGCAAACGGCCTTTCGGCGATGTTCGACTGAGGCAGATGAGACTGACACGAAGCCAACGGCCAAGGACAACAATGACATGGTAAATGATTCTTTTAATTTGAGTACCCACAAAAAAGCGCTCAAATTATTTTGTAGAGAGAGAGAGGGAGAGTACATTCAGGCAGGTGGACAGGCAGCGATGTGTCTGCACGCCAGCGTATACATCCTGTGTCAGGAGTTGGTTGACAGCTTTCAGAGCCACATCCACGGTTTGACGGCAGTGCCAAAGTCCCAGAGCACTAGCAGTAGCGGCAGAGCCAAGGTCTTGCACTAGTTAAGTTTCCCTAAAAATCCAGGAACCAAATCATTAGCGCGAGCTATCCTGCGTCCAGTTGGTAGTAGCTACTTAAACTACTAGCTACCTCTAGCTACTACTTCTACGGCCTACCCCCCAATTCTTTTTTGTTTTGGTCCGTTTCATGATTCCGCCTTCATGAGCGTTGTGCCCCGATTCCATCGATTTGATGGCTGTGCTTGCATCTCCGGCGCGTGAGCCAAGTGCTGCGGTCGCTCAGGTTCAATCAGCTGCTCTGCCAGTCACCGGATTTCGAGAAGATGTCCTTTGAAGCAGTCTGTGCACACCAGGCACTTGGCGCTTCAGTCAAGAACTGGATGTTTGTCCAAGAGGTTGTGCCACACACAGGTGCCTAGTATTTTTTTGCCTCAGCAAGCCTGGTTGGAAAGGCTCCGCTCTGCCTTGCCATGGGGCTGCTTGGCTTTTTCCAGAGCTTGGTGCGACATGTCCGCCATGTAGATAGCAAAGTGTGGCAACTTGTCAGCTTCTTCAGCCACCAGGGTTTGAAGCTTTTTGTATTTGTTCCGGATGATTGACTACTGGTAGCTGCAAACAGATAGACCTTGTGACCACATTTTTTCGGTGGCTGCTTGGGGACTTGCTGATGTAACGGATGTATTTCAGATTTCGGTTCGTGCCAACGAGGGATGACAGGAAAGTAGGTGACGGAATGACCGGGAGCTGACACGGCACTAACTCCATTGGAAAGCAACGTCCACTGTGCTTGAGAGAGTTGGTCCCAATGGGGATAGTAACAATGACTTCTGAGCCATGGAGTCCATGGAGTACAATGCCCCTTGCACACAAGTGGCCACTGTTTCGTTGTCTTCGACATGGCTCATCAAAATCGTTCGAGCGATGTTCTCAGCTTGTCAAGCAAATTCCACCAGGAAAGACCAGCTCGTCAAGCCACGGAAAGAGCAGCCAAACTCTCACAAGGCGTCACAAAAGGGTTAGGGTCCACCAGTTTCTGTGTACATTATGAATATATACATCATTCGAGTAAAAACTGCGCCAGGTGCACGACGAATTTGATCTCTGCAGCAGTCCGGTTTCTGCCCAGGTGCATGATGTTAGAACTATGCAGGATTTCACCCTTGAGAAGTCTGATGATCATTCGCACTGTGTAGAAGTGGACTGTCCACCTCCTTGCAAAAGGGTTTGAAGGACTTCGCAGGGATGGCAAGCCTTCGCGCTTTCCTCCATTCATGATGTCATTCTTGCCCTGAATGGATTTCCCACTTGGACTGCTGCAGGCCTCGGAGAAGAGCGTTCTCTCTGACAAGAGCATTGACCTCTTGGAACAGCAGCACCTTAGCAGAGTATCCAAACACCAGACAACATCAGAGACTCAAGATTCAGTTGCATGTTTGTGTGGACATGATAGTAACTTGATGCACTTCAGGCTGTGCTTCTGTACATTTTTTCCAACTTGTTCCAACACGATGCAACGTAGGCATGGAAGTCGTGCTTGACAGAGCTGCCCACCGGATACCAGTACATGTCTGTATTCCTAGAGTTTATGTCCATGATGCTGGGATAGTAGGACAGTCAGTGGCTTGGGTCATTCGAAAGATTGGTGGGCACAGCTCAGGTATGAACGACTGGACCAAGACTGCGCTGGCAAACTGAGTTTCAATGACTTGCGAAAGGCCGTACTCGAGTTTGTCGGGTTGTGGTATCATGGCAATCTGTTTTTTGCATGGATAGAGCCACATGTAAGAACAGTGGTAAATTGAAAGTGACAATTCCTTTGTTCTTTGCAAGCCTTCTGAAGAATGCATGATGTTAGGTGGTGCACGAGTTTGGAAATGGCTGGGAGATGGAGGACTTGTCGCCAGCCCAGCTTGGAGAGAGCTTCTGCTGGTGCGAATATTGAAGAAGACATTGAATTATGGGAGGAAACTGCAATTTCAGAAAACCATAACATGTACAGTACGTGCTTTCACAGGACTCACACGACGTGTTGGAGCAGCCCTCCTTCAGTGGCACAAATAGTTCTAGTCATTCTAGTCAGCATGAAGACACCAACGAATCTACCAGACTAAGTGACTAAGGCCAGGACTTCTTGAAGCCGCACAGGATCTTCTCAAAAAAGAAAAGCATCTTGGCAAAGGAGTTGGAGAGTTGGCACTGCACAGGACAGCGAACTCTAGTTTAGCACATGTGGATTGGCGCCGTGTGTCTCAAAGTGGGCCAGATTTGAGCAAGTCACAAGTCATCCATAGACTAGTGTCATATTCAATCCAATCATATATAGATACATTGCTATGCATGCTTGATCAGACCTCCGAACAAAAGAAAAGGGCAGTTTGGAGTGCATCCTCAAGCATGCCTATTTGACTGCGCGGAAGTGTAGCGTTGACACTGGACACTTACTTCACCAAGTCCATGTTCGAGGTTCTTTTTTGTGTTTTGGTCAGGGTTCACAATTCAGCCCTGTGAAGACCAGTATGTTGTCCTTGTTCATTTTACAGAAGGCAACTTCTACTCTATATTATGCAATGTCGTGATACTTATTGCAGATATTGCGCAAGGTGGCACTGGCAAGTCACCTAGGCCTTGTCATTGTTCTTATCCCTATGGCAGCTAAGGCTTGTGGCCAATCCAAGCTTCAAAAACCGCTCTGCTACTGGAATTAAGGTAAGCAGCTCGTGCCAGACATGATAGATGCAAAGGGACATAAATGAATGCTACATCTATGTCATGTGTGTGTACAGCAGAATCTGGTGTTTGGCAAGTATGTACAAGTTGTGTGTGCGCGTGTGTTGAAATGCAGCCTCCATGAATCTATGCATATAATGTGCAGACCAGGTATATACTGTATATACTGTATATATATATAATATATATATATATATTCATTTTTTCAGGTGCTCACATCCTTCTTTTGGTTGAGATTGACATGTTGGCCGCTTTCTATTGGTTTACAGTCAGCCTCTCCTCGGTAGGCTGACCGCTCCCTTGCAGACTTTGAGACTTTCAAGGCTCCAGTGGGACTGTGTAAGAATTGCTTGTGTGAACTTCGCTGCAAACTTCGTTGGTCGGATCTCTCTGCAAGAAGCGCCCAGACCCAGAAGGACTGCAAAGTTTTGTTGCTTGTACTTGGGTCTGATGAAGGTTTCGATAAAGCTTAGAATAGTGGTTGACCGTGTCCTTTACTGTGGAAAAAGACTCCTCACCAGTCTTTCTTATTCTCTTGGTATACATATTGAGAACTGAAGCTCGAGACCCTAGCGCAGATTTGAAACCGGATAGGCCAGACTCCAGACTCCAGACATATTGTTTCTGTCATCACCTGCAAGTCTGAAGGCTCTTGCAACTCATGAATGTTTGCTTTCAGGCACCTTGGCGGTCTTTCACGACAGACTGAGGGTTTGCCAATGGATGGGTTCAACAATCACACCCGGGCGAAAGGGGTGCATGAAGCATGCAGAGTGTGGCGATACTTGATTCTAGTTTTTGAGTTTTTGATTGTAGCGGTTTTGTTCCGTAGGGTAAAGATGCTAGCGTCTGGACGTGGCAATTTAGCTTGGATTGCTGTCACCAGCTACCGGGTGCCAGAATCTAATCAAGAGATGGTGCAAGCAGCATGCTTGGGGACTGTACGAACCTCACCTGTTTGCGTTTTATGGTTTAAGATTCTGCATTTCAATTCCCTCCTGATTTGGGACCAACAGACCAGCTGCGTGTACCTTCAACTTGAAGCTCGCTCGTTTGCCGTGCTGAGATGAACACTTGGACGTCACAGTGCGCAATGATGCGAAGATCTTGAGAAATGCACTGGACGTGATCCTATCGAGTTTGAAAGGGCGGATTCCAATGAATCCACAGCTCAAAATCAAACAAAATTCACGAGGAGTCATGGGAAACCTAAGCGGTTCTTGCATTGTCTTAGAGTGATTCCAACCAACTGAATCAACTAGCTCTACGGATGGAGCCAGGCTGAGCAGGTCTTCAATCGCTACCTTCCTGATGGCCATTTAGAGAAGGATGAGGCCGGGTGCAGCTGAACCCAATGGCCTCAGGGTGGTGGATATCTTTAGAAAGGCCCAGAAGTGTTACTGTAGCACCAAGCTTAAAGCCCTTGCGGACGCTGAGATGCGCGAAGTTTGAGTTCAGAAGCCAATGATTCCAAGGGAGAAAGCAGTTACAAAAGGCAAATTCTGAGTTCAAGGAGTTTAGGTTAGAGTTCGAGAACTAAGAGATCGACATCGAAGCCTGCACCCGCTGTGCCGTTCGTTTTTGTTGTAAGGAGGGCTCGTCCTGGCCCATTTCCCATCCAATGAGAGTCCTGGACGCTCAACTCCGGCAAAGCTGTAGTGCAGGTTGCTGACCAGAACCAAAGGAGGAAACCATGTTCTCTACTACGTGGAGCGATTCAGTACCTTTCTTGTGCTTGGGAGTGGGGTTTCTGACCCACATGCAAAATCAAAGTCGTTGGACATTCAAGTCTCGCTGGACCTGTCACGACAAGTGGGCTCTTGAAGTGACATTGCCGACAGATGATGGCATCAATGATGCGGTGCCCTTCTGCGTGCGCTGCAAGTGGCCTTATCTCCTGCCATGCTTCTCTTTCAAAAGGCTAGCAGTACTGTAATGCCTTGGAGCGATCATGACTATGCCAACCTCCACAATGGCGGCATGCTCATGACAGCTTGTCGGCTGGTCAGGAAGTTCATCGCGTGCCATCTCCTCACAAGAGAACTCTATCAAACTTTCAGATGTCGGGATTTGTTTGCTTCAAACATGGAATGCCCAAGCGAATTGTTTGTTCAAGGTTGCTATTGGCCTCTTACCACCGCTAACTCTTCTTATGTGTTGTAAATTCACACCGGCAAAGAAGTCTTGCTTCATAGTTTGTTCCTTAATATTCCTATTTCATTCTTGATTGCATCAGAACCGAATGGTAAGCCAAGTAGAAAAGGATTTCCTTTCAGTGCGAAAGCGAATAGTTATTCACAGATTGGCATCACATGGTGATCAAGCGGCACATACTGAATTTTCGTAGCATTTCGTGGCTTAGTTGTTTTGTATACAATAGCACGAAGTAGTTACCGTGGTTGCGATTGATTCTATAGCCATTTCCCGTGGAGTGGAGTCTGCCCTGTTATGACGAGGCCGTAGCTGCAACAACGGAATCGCGCTGGCGTTCGCTGCAAAAGAAAGCGCACACCTTCTTCGATGTGATCCCACCTTTTGTGATTGACCCTTGCTTGCAATCTTTTTTGATCTGCAAAAGCTTCAGCAAAGATCTCCACTGCTAGATTCTAGATTGGTGTTGGATGGTACTTCTGTGGGCAACTTGCAGAACCTAAATCCAAGATCGAAGAGGTGACTGTGAACTTTCGAGAGACTTGCTGTGTTTGTTTTTGCCTATATATACAATTACTGTCTAATTTTTCGACTACTTACACCCGCCTATTTGCTCCTTTGTGAATGCAACGGGATCGGGCCTAGAAAGTACTGTAAAATGCTTGAGTTGAAGGAGGGCGGAGTGCGTGCACAGTTGCAGAACAGCAGGTAATCAATGTCATTGTGGTGGGCATCTCTGTTGACATGCAGAAGACCGATCCGGACAATCCGATTTGGCAGGCAATTTGAGGTTTCTACAGCTTCGTTCTGTTGCGCTACATTGTCTCCGTAAAGAAAATCTGTATGCCTTGAGTCAACCAAAATTTGTAGCTGAATTTGGCACGGTTGCGTATGTAGGGCTAGACATCCTTGTAGTAGTTTGTACCCTTCACGTTTGGTGCTTCACAACTTGAGGCGCTGGAGATTGTCTTTCTGACTTTCTACTTCTTTGAAGCCATGGGAAAGATCCTTGTGTCCGTTGACCAAGATGTTCAAGAAGCGTGAAAGATGTGCAAGGCTGCAAGGCAGTTTGTTTAGGCCAAGGTTGCGAAGGCCCTGAATGAAACAGCCAGCTTCTGCAGCCCAGCTACTGTACAGCCAAAGATACCGAACATGGTCAGATGCTCTCAGGTTCGGGTGCCACTGGTACTTCCTCGGGGATGAATTTCTTTGGAAGCTCGGTTTGAGAATTTTGCATCAAGATAGCCCACTCAATATGGTAAAAAGCTCCCTCAGACACTGCATGGGTCAGCATGAAAGCAAGCCACTCAACGCAGGGTATTTGACTGCGAGTTGGAATACGGACGACCTACCAAAGTTCTTGGGAAGAGCAAACACAGACAAGACCGCTTGGCGGGGAGTCTCACTGTTCCAAACAGCACCACCCTGCATTGCAACAACTGAACTGGTAGTTGATTGCCTCACTGCAATTCACAACGCTTCATCCTGAACTGAACTGAGGAACATTTTCGACTTTGGTTGCTTGCTGTTGTCCTTGGGGGACCTCGGCATCTACATCTATGTCACTGTCAGCCAGGCCTGGCAGTCTGGCGGGTGTTGGAAGAGGAGTGATCTTTTTAAATGTTTTACATGAGCCGATGTCGCCTTGGGAGGTTGATAACTTTTTGAACCTTCATACGCTCATGCTGGTGAAGATGGTGCGATTAGCACGTTTGGCCAGACTGATTCGAACACTGCGCTTTGCAATCTTTTGCAGCTTGCCCGCATAATGACTTCTTCATGCATCAGTCGGTGTCCGTATCCCCATCCATGAGAAGCAATAGAGAAGGATTTCCGTAGCAGCCTGTTGAAGCTCGAAAGACCAGCGTTTGGAAAACCCAGATGAGCTGAAGCTCATGGTGCTTGGCGTGATCAGCGGCATGAGGGTCTTGGCTTGGGCCATGGTTCTCCTCGCGCCTTGGACCAAGGGGAAGACAGGGAAGGCCGCGGTACGAGTCTACGATGTTGCTGGACATTTGAGGCATTTGGAATCCAAGGTAAATTAGAATGGAACTCTGCATACCATATACCTGGGTAGCGTGACCATCAAATTCGATCGCAAGACATGCAGCCAATTATGTTCATCCCAAGCCCTGGAAGGAAAATGGCTGCAAAGCAGCACAGTTTGTCTTGCAAGCTGTGAGATATAGAAAAACAACAGAGGCTTACTTTGACGCAACTTGCCACCTCGAACCTCTCATTATCAGCTCCCTACAAGTGTTCCTGCTGAACAATGTCAAACATGGGCCAGTTTTTGCAACATGGCCATGGCAGGTTTGAGAGCATATGCAGACAGGTTTGTGCCATTTTCGCTCCTCTTATCCTAGGTGGTGTTGATTTTTGCAGCTGCCATTTTCTTCACCAGCGCCTCAGCTGAGCTCTTGCTCCAAGAACACCGAATTCACTCTGTTTTGTGTGAAAGACTTGAAAGTGATTTGTTTCCTATATTGCAAGCTTTCATGGTTCGGTTCACCGTCTTAATTTCGCAGAGTGCCAGTAATCTGTCATTGTTCGACCATAGACTTTTTGTTTGTCAGCTTTTGGTGAAAACACGATGTTGACAACTTTGACTTACAGCCTGCCTCAATTCTGGGAGATTACTGATTACTCTTGTTTTGCTTCTCACTTGAACAAATCCAAGGCATGTTCGGAGAAAGCTGCCTCGAATTGAGATCAGTGAGATTTTCAATGCAACATGGCCAAGTTTGGGTTTGATGGATTTGTTTCTGTGAAACAGCGAGACTGGGTGATTCTTGATACGTACAGCCAAACTTTCCTGTAGTATTCTGCCAGGTTTACTCTTTTCCGCTGCTTTACGGATGGCTGCGTGGACTACGAGGGAAAACCACTCTCTGAGAAGCTGCATGAGATTTATGGTGCCTCGGCTTTGATTGTATGTCACGAGTGTCTGAGGTCTTTTGGAGCGAAGTTCAGACTGTTCAGATTTTTCTTGAAGTCTTTCACATCAGAGCAACCTTGGGACGCCAGGCCTGTGGTTTGTTATCCCTTATGCTGCTCAGCTGCATAAGTTTCACTTTTCAACCTTTCCAAAACCCTACTTTGGCTCAAAGCCTTCCAGAACCCCATGTAATGTACTGTCGATATACTCAAAGATTCGCTTTGGCCAGCCAAACTAGAAGGAGCAAAGAAGGAGCAGAGAGAAGGGGCAGACGAGAAAGAGCAGAAGGAGAAGGAGCACAAGGAGAAGGAGTAGATAGAAGGAACAGCAGGAAAAGGAAGGGAGTTGGGGCAAAGGGAGAGGAGAGAGGGGCAGCAAGAAGAGGAAGACCAAACAAACCATGCTTGCAGTCTTTTGCACGAAGTTCGGTAAACAAATGCAACAAAGCATGATGTAATCCTTGTTTGTGCAAAGTAGCAGCTAAATTCACAAACATATATTTATTTGCCCAGAAAGTCCTGCACCCGGCTCCTTCATAAATTCTGCTTAAAGTCCTGGACATGCATAGTCATAGCACACTCAGCTCGGTGAATCCTGGGAAGACATGCTGCTTGGAAAGTCCTTGACAGTATAATAGTATAGACTGTGAAGACACATGCTGCTCGGATATTTCCTGCATACTCCGAAGTGCGAACCTTTTATGATCCAAAGAAGCCCGCCAGAGGCTGACAAAAGACATGTAGACTTGGGGAGAAAGCCCGCACAACAGTCAGTATGGAGAAGGGGAGGAAAAATCCTTAGATAGAGGGATGAAGGGGCAAAGATTCAAGAAGATAGATGGGCAAGGGGAGTGTCCGAAGAAAAAAACAGGCACCTGCGATGTGCCACACAGTTGCGTCTTTTCAACCCTGTGAGTCATTGAAAAATCACTGGCGAGTCTCACTCTAAATACAATAAAGAAAGACGCACGAAACGGAGCGGGGCAAAAATAGACATCCAGACGACTTTCAGAGCCGGACTGTTTACGCAAAGGTCTCTGAAAGTCAATTAGATGCAGTTCTGGAAGATTTAAATCCACAGGAATGCAGAATACGGATGGTGTTGCAGGCTAACAGGGCAATGCATTGCACAGGTAGTCTGTGCGCCGTTCATCCTGGGCGTAAAGAAGCATCACCAGCGTCTGCAGTTCCCTTCCAATCGTACCAGAGATATAGGGGCAAGAAGAGAAAGAACAGAATGAAGCACCTGAGGTCCAGCTGCAGGGGTCTCGTGACGTTGTCGTTCCGACAACCCGCCGGGCCTTCGTGGTCTGCTGTTTCCACACTTATCTGTGACCCCATATCTCTTCACAGTGAGACTTCAAGGAAAGCACTACTTTTCCGGAATTTAACTTGAAGGTTACAACTGTAGCTGCCCCCTTTACGTCCACAGATCTCCATCAAGAGTGCTCTGAATACCATCTGAGTCATAGCGCATCCTGCTGGGAAACTCTTTCTGCAGCTACATTGCCATCTCCAATCTCTACACCCCTCTGTGTTACTCAGCTTTGTGGTGCCCCATGTACACTGCACTCTGAGAAGAGCAATCGCTGATGAGCACAACCAAAGGCTATTTTTGCGTTGACCAATTGCTTGAATAAACATGATCCCCTGTTTTCTCATTGACAACCCTCACAGCATTTCGTGCCTATCCTCTCAAAGACTCAGCAAGGTTTTGGCTGTGTATCTACACAGGTTTTACCTGTGTTCTCCAAGCACCACTGGTGCACAAGAATAAAAAATAATAGTAATGGTGTAGCGTGCCATCCTCTATGTGGGCAAGTGCAAAGAAGTGTGCAACGTAGCATACATTGTGTGTGAATCTATCATGTATATAAGTGCGCGTGCAATGCCAGGTGCGATATGAATTGCGAAGTACAGAGGGCCGTTTTCGGTTTTCGTGGGGCGGAAAAGAGCTCGCTGGCAAAAACATGTGTAGTGGAGATGGTTTTGCACACACTCGAGGTAATTCGTACGGTGTTGATTTGCGGTTTGCCACCCGCCAACCTAAGTGAAAACCTAAGAGACCAGGTAAAGCAAGAGTAGGTCAGAGGCCATCGCATCTAGGTGGGAGGCCCTCGCAACGGGTTGGAGGCCATTGCTAGTAGGTTAGTTTCAAGTAGTAGACAAGATAGCGGTTGAAATCAGATCGCAGCCAGAATCAACAGAAAAGGTTTGACCACTAGGTGGGGGCCAACGAAAAAGGTTGGAGGCAATCACTAGCAGGGGCACATGTCTGATCTTCGATTGCATATATAAAACGCGAACAAACTCGACACACATGCAAGTGCACATGTCTGATCTTTGATTGACAAGCAACCAATACAGTAGGTAGAAGTAGGGGTAGTTCCACACAGTGAGCGAGACAGATGAATCGCTCTAGGTAAGTTAGCCAAAGCATGAATAAGCCTTCTGCTCTAGGTAGGGTAGATAAAAAACATAAAGCCTCCTGTTCTAGGGAGCGAGGCGGACGAATCGCTCCACTAGGGTAGGGAAAAGGAAAGAGAACCGACAGACAAGTCTGCCGACGAACTCTGCTTCCAGTTTACGAGCGAAACATAAGAATCGCCCTATAATCCCATTTCACTGGTAGCTTCACTGGACAGTCCCAGTGAAATGCTGTGCCCACCTGCATTGCTAAAACCACCAGGTTCCCTTTCACTCCAAGCATTTCATACACTTGAGATTTTGTGTACGGAACTGAATGCGGTGCCACACGCCGGCCTAGGGTTCCAATTCCTAAGGGTACCAGTAGGAGGCCCACGAATCCTGGAGGTCTTAAAAGGAGAGGAGGCCCAAAGAGGAAGGAGCCGAACGACGAGGCGGCAAGTTGACGACGTTCCGCTCGCATCTGCAGTGTAAAGCGAGGTTCTTGGCTTGGCCTCTTGCCATACGTAAAGTGGAAAATTGCAGGTACACAAGAAGGCGTCCCTTCTCGCTTCACCAGTTGTGAGTCCGTCTTCGTTGGTCCAGGGACAACTCACAACTGCCTGGACCCCCTGCTGTAAAAGTAAAAACATCCCTTGCTGCAAAATGCAAAAGCATCCCTATGACTCCAAGGGTGACACACACACGCCTCCCCGAAGGGAGGCATGTGTGACCTCCATCCTGCCCGGAAAGGAGGTAGGCACATGTGCACGCGAGACGGACCGATGAAAATGAGAAGGACAAGACAGACAAAGGTGTGCGTGGTTGCCGATGATAAGGAACCAAGTGAAGAGGGACAACCGATGAGCCAAACCTCATTGTAACGAACCTGGGCCACCTGAACCTGGCTGTAGGTAAAGTACGCGTGCGTGTATGTGTACAAACTAAGGCCCGGACGATAGTGCGCGCAAGAGAAAGAAAGGATGAGGATGAAGAGACATGAAGACAGAAAGACATGAAAGAAAAGAGGAAAAAACCGTCTGTGGGGGCCGATGAAAGGGGAACCAAGTGAACGGGGACAAACCGATGACAACCCAAACCTCATTAGAAAAACCTGTTGCAGTAGCCTAGTTTGTTTGTAAACACGCCGCGCGCGAGGGAAGAGGGGGCAGGGGGAGGAAGAAAAGAGAGGGAAAGAAAGAAGGAGAGAAAGGTGCACCCAGCTACGACACATGCGTCCAGGGACACACCAAAAAGAAGGGCTCCCAGCTATGACGAAGCATCCAGGGACACCCAGGGAGGAGGGTGAAGAGAGGAAAGAGAGAAGGAAAGAAAGAGGGAGAGAAAGGGAGAAGAAAGGAAGGTGTTCCCAGCTACGAACAATCGTCCAGGGACACACCCAAGAAAGAGAGGGGTGATCCTGAGTATTGCACTCAGGAAAACCCCAGAAAGCAAGGAAAGAAACGGGGGAGGGAAGGGGGAGAAGGGGGGCTAAGGTTCCAACAGGTTCCAATGAACCTTGAACAAGCTTTGGTCGCTGCGACCACGTACGGCTTGCCCGAAGGCTGCCACCTTTGACCGGTGTGGTCACGTAAAGGCATGAGCCAGCTTGGAATTCCCAAAAATGAGACAAATATCCCAGTTCTTGAGGCATTAGCCAACTACTGCCCGCTGTGGGCACGTACATCTCCAGGCAAGGGAGATAACGACGTACACCCGTTCGACGGGTCCACGGGAGGCACTCTGCGGGCTCATCCCGGGTTGGCACGTGGCCAAACACACTTGAGATTTTGTGTACGGAACTGAATGCGGTGCCACACGCCGGCCTAGGGTTCCAATTCCTAAGGGTACCAGTAGGAGGCCCACGAATCCTGGAGGTCTTAAAAGGAGAGGAGGCCCAAAGAGGAAGGAGCCGAACGGCGAGGCGACAAGTTGACGACGTTCCGCTCGCATCTGCAGTGTAAAGCGAGGTTCTTGGCTTGGCCTCTTGCCATACGTAAAGTGGAAAATTGCAGGTACACAAGAAGGCGTCCCTTCTCGCTTCACCAGTTGTGAGTCCGTCTTCGTTGGTCCAGGGACAACTCACAACTGCCTGGACCCCCTGCTGTAAAAGTAAAAACATCCCTTGCTGCAAAATGCAAAAGCATCCCTATGACTCCAAGGGTGACGCACACACGCACACACACACACACGCCCCCGTGGAGGGGGGCCAAAAGCTAGAAGTTGTAGGTGTGCGCGCGCAGAGGACAAAAGATGAAGACATGAGAGGAAGACAAGACAGGAGAGTGTGTGTGGTTGCAATGAAGAGGAGCCAAGTACCAAGTGAACAGGCGGACTTCATTATATAGGTCCACCTCGGCGAACCCAGACCTGGGCTTTATGCGCGAGTGCACGTACCAGGGCCGGACCGATGTGCGCGCAAAAGAAAGGAGTGAGATGATCAGACATGACAGCGTAAGAAGTGTGTGTGCGAGGGGGAAGGATGAAAGGGGAACCAAATGGAGGGGCTGGGGAAACCTAGCCTGGTTTTGGTACGTACAGTATACCCTGCAAGTGCACCTATGGTTGGGACAGGTCCCACCGGGCCTTGAGAGAACTACGGCCGCTGCGGTCTACTTTGGGCATTCAGCCTGCTTTGGTCCGCTGCGGACTACTAATGGTATGCCAAAATGGCGGCCTGCTCAAGCTCCATAAGCCTCCTACGCTCGCTGCAAGCTGCTCTGGTCCCGGCGCAGGGACTTAGACAAACCCTTGCCACATGGGACACTCTTCGGGTACACCCTGGGCTGGCAAGGATAATTCGTAGGGTATTTCACTGGCGTTTTGCACGCACACCTAAGTAAAAAACCCAAGAGACCAGGTAAAGCAAGAGTAGGTTAGAGGTCGTATAAGGAAAGGATCCTAACGGACCCTATACTCACCATTCCAATGTTTAGGATGTAGTTTCCACATTTGACTCGCTCTCTTACCTCATCCATGCAAATGGTCCCTTTCCCGCATATCACACACGCTGCTCCCCACCGGCTAGCTTTCGTTCACCCCTTTTGGCCTCAAGTTGTAGATAAGACGCGAACAAACTCGACACACATGTAAGTGCACATGTCTGATCTTTGATTGACAAACAACCGATACAGTAGGTAGAAGTACAGGTAGTTCCACACAGTGAGCGAGACAGATGAATCGCTCATACAGTGAGCGGTGATTGCACCGCTTCCTGGGCCTTGCTTCTTGGTTGAGGTCTTCCTCTTTGTGGGCGTGACCTTGGGCCTTTTCAACCTCATCATGGCCATTTTCATCGACAACGCCTGACCCTCGTCATTCCATGCCCAGAGCACGAAGGTGCTCTTGTCACCTGCCAGGTCATGGCGAGTCAAATGCAACGCAAGCTTCAAGAGATCTCCAACACAGCAAAGATGGTGGAGGTCAACTTGAAGGAGCTGTGTCAAAGAAGCACAGATTGGCAGAGTTGTACATTTGTCCCGCAAGTCCTTGGAATTTTGGAGGAACATGTCGAACATGTTTACATGTTTTGATGGGGTCGTGGCATTTGACCGTGTTTTTGCAATGCTTGCCTGAAACGCCTGTAGTTGATAGCCGGATAGCCGACTATAAAGACCTCCCGATAATTTTGGTTCACATCCCACGTGGCTGTTCATATAAAGGTTTGCAACAAACAGCCTTCGGGATTTGAGCCAAGAGACGTGAACGAGATGTAGCCGTTTCCATGTTTCCAATTGCTGGACAACCACCTGAATACTTGGCTGCAATGACCCCGTACATCTGAAAAATCAGCTAGAAGACAAGGGCTGCCGCCGAGTGCCACAGCCTGGCAACAGCGCACTCTATAAACTCATTGAAGAACTCTTGATCGGAGGTCTTCCTAGCAGATCCGGCTACAAAAAAATACGTATTCAAGACGCTTCGCGTCGACAGCCGCCCACACCGCGCACGAACATCCGAAGTTAGTGAAATGGAGCTTCACGGGGTGATGCTGTAGTAAAGGAGGTTTGTGATTCCTAAGTCAGAAGTGAAGGAGGGTCAGAACCTAAAACGCTCTCCCCCAGCAGAACCAGGATTTTAAGTGAGCTTCGGCGAACTATCTTGGCTCCAAATGAAGGACAAGTGCAGCTATCTAGGCGCCAGGTTGGCTGTCTTACGGCTGCGTTGGAGCCATCTTGGGGCCAACTTCGTCTACCTTGGGGCCCATAATGGTGATACAACTTCGGCGTTGCCAAACGCCATCCAAAAATACACCTCCAAAGCGCTGTCCTCAGTGGCCCTGCAGCCGAGCAAGAATCAACGCAGCGACCACCCTAAAACACAAAAACTCCTCCAAAACGCTCTCCCCAGAGGCCCTGCAAGCATGACCTAACGAAAATCATGTACCTCCAAAGCGCTCTCCCCAGTGGCCCTGCGGGGCAACCACAGCCACGCACGCGCGAAAAATAGAGGCCCCCTAGCATAGCTATATGCATAGGATGTTTTTTTAAAGTGCAGAGCTCAAGAGCCCCAAAGCACGCCCTGCACCGACAAGCGGTGCGGGCGGATCTTCTTGTATTTTTCTTGCAACCAAGATACCTCCAATCACAAGCACGGCCACACTCAGCCAGCAACTGCTAGGCTTGGGGGAACCTAAACACATCACACTTGGGTGTGCCAGTGGTCAAACTGACCTCCGTGCATCTCCATCTGCACAGGGAAACCACAAATCACCTAAGTTTAGGCTAGTGCTGATACCCTTTGCTTCAACGGTTTAGGTGGCAAAAAGTGGGCCGTGTTGGTTGGAGGCCTGCTACACTCCGCCATTTGTTTTTGACATTGACTTTATCTACTTGACCTACTGCCAACATTTTCAACGAAAGACCTCGCTCGAATCCATAGAGCCTGAAATGCTGCAAAGCCTTCAGGAACAATTGAGGGGGGGCAAAGGAATCATGTTTCCAAGGATGCAGTTAGGTGCATGCTCTCAGGACAGCTTGGCTCAATGAAAAGTGCCCAATCCCAGTCACTGTTGACTTCTCTCAGAAGCCCTAACAATTTCCCAGCCACAAGCGGGGGCAAGTGTGCTTTGATTATGACACACATGAGATTTAGCAACTCCTTGGGACGCACATGACTCTGGATCTTTTTTGATTTGCCAGGAGCAACTGTTGAGGTTGACCTTGCAGAGCAAATCCAATGGCGTGCCCAAGGACCGCGCTGGCCTTTGAGAGAAAGAAACAAACATGTGCTGGCCTTGGCCTTTTTCATGTCGAACCTTTGTGCAAATTGATGCAAGGATGTCGAGCAGGCTATTGTCAGCTTGGACGACCATTATCACAGTCACATGGCACGGGTGCGGGCGAAGTTCGACCTCTTGGCGTCGGCCGAGGTCACTTGGCATTGGCCGCTAGTGTTCGCAAAGGTTGATCAACCGCTAGACAATTGACCACAATGGTAAGAGAGAGGAACAAAAAGAAGGTAAGGGCCCCTCCCAAGCCTTGGCTTCTTTTTCTACTCTTTGTTTGTCATACTTTCGACTTTTTCAACTTGTGTCCAGTATCCACATTCCTTTTTCCTGGCCTCACACTCTCGCCCACACTCTGTTTTTTGAGCTCCTGATGACCATTTCTTCCTGCCAAGCTTTGCAGATTGCCATCACCAGACCGGCCTTCCTCTCCTGGTTGAAGGAGGGATGTCGTGATGGGATTGAACCTGGATGACAGTTGGACTTATGGCGTTTATGGCGTTGGCATCGTGTTGATGGCCTGTGGAGTGTTTGAGTAGTGTGACACTTTGGCCGTCTGGCAAAGATGCAAGTGATTCTCAATGTCAAGCTGAGCAGCAACCAGTCCTTTGCAGGATCGAACCTTTCTTCATGTGCTGAAGGATGCAGATATTGAAACAGCCAACGAATCAGGCACGCCATGGTTTGGCATGATACCCTTTGTCCTACTTGTGCGAAAGGCCCCTGTGTCATTCAGTCCAGTCGCATGAGCCTTTTCTCTTTTGTTTGCCACACCAGGCATTTATGAAGTCCTCGATGCAGACATGCTCCTTGACGGCAAACAGTGGTGCAATTCTTGCAAGGCTCAAGATCAATGCGCAGATCCGATTATGTTCAATTATAGAGGTTGCCAGAGTCTTGGAGGGTATCAACAGGTTCAGGTTGTTCCACGTGAATCTTGATCCTGCTGGTTTACCCACCTCCTTCATGTAGGGAAGTCTGAAGCTAAGGAGCAACAGTCTGAGCATTGAAGAGGTCTATAATGGCTTGATGAGGTGCTTCCGTGCTGCAAAGGATACCAAATCGCTCGGCTCCATCATTCCGCTTGCTTTCCCTGGCTTGATGTTCAGATTCGTAGCGGCAACAGCTTTTAATGGGATACGTATTTGGTTTTGAGTTTGTACTTCAATTCTTGATCAGACGCGGCGCATGCCCAAACTCCTTATGTTTGGAAGCATGCTGAGCCATTCTGGCTGGCAGGTTGAGAGGGCCCATTGCGAAGTCAGAAATTGTGGGCCTCATCTTGAGGCATAGATGTGCGGTTGCTGTTGCATTTCTCTCCAAAGCTGTCATTCATCATGTCACATTCACTGCCCAGCTGCAGCCAAGTGAAGATTGCAGCATTTTGCTCGAGGTCCTTTCCCATCCTTCTTCCAGGTTTGATTCCATTACACAGCCGACATGATTGAGGAAATTTCAGACACCGAGTCGGAGATCGATTGGGATCAGTGGCTCATGGTGCCAGCGCCAGCTACAGCGCTCGAAGATCACAGCGCCAGCCTTGGTTTCTGTGAGACCGTGGCACGCAGGTTTCGGCGAGCCTTTGGATGTGAAGTCGAGTCTGAAGCGGTCGCCTTGACCGAGGCTCAGTTGCAGATCATGCCGAAAGGAGATTTGAATGCAATCGCTGTTGAGTCTGCTGGAGTCAATTGGTTGCTAGTGGGCTTTGGAGCTGCAGCAGCTGCTGTCATTGCAGCCGTTGCAGCAGCGTCTGCTGTTCTCGGTGCTGCTGTGGCGTATTCCTTTTTCACCATGAACGTAGGCGGCTGGGATGGTGACATGAAGGTTATCATGGGAGATGGGTCCAAGAAGAAGATCAAAGATGTGAAGATTGGAGACCAAATTCAGAGCTTCAACAAAGGCAAGCTGCAAGCGAGGCCAGTGGTCATGATCGAAGAGAATGAAAGTAGCACGATGCGGGAATTGCTTCTGCAAACTTCGGATGGCAGCCAGTTCAGTATCAAGGCAACAGGAGAACATCCCTTATATACCCAGAAAGGATGGGCAGTTGTAGCTCCCCAAGAAGGCCGCTTCAAGACATCACCTGAGAAGCTCCGTATCGGTGACACTTTGTTTCTTTGTGGGGAGGATGCCAAGCTCATTGCAATTGGGGATCCTTTGCCCCTCCAAAAGACATACAAGCTTTCGATGGATGGGCAAAGCACTCTCTTTGTAGAAGGCATTTTGGGACATTCGGGCTTGCCCCCCACAAGACCATGACGCGCAAAGGTTGAGGTCTCCCGATGCTGTAGTACAGCAGTGTTCATGTTCAGAAGCACATGGGTGGGACAGAGCAGTGCTGTGTTTCACTACAATGCGGAGGTGGTTCTTTGACTCCTCCGCCTGGTTTGTACAGATTTATGTCTATCGTGCCTTCGATACGTAGTTGTCGTTGTATGCAAATAGACACATGGACGTGTCAGTAGAGCAGTACTCCTGGCAACCGCGTAACGTTCAACGTGGCTGCGCTGGCGCTTGAAAAACAAGCTTTAGAAGCTGCAAGCGGGAACCCTGGCAACAGATGCTGACTATGTGTATATGTCAATAACAGTTCAAGTCGTTTCATATAGTCAACGTTGCGAATGCCTTCAGCAGTGATGTTCAGTTCATCTCAACCAAGCCCATTTCATTTGGTCCACATTAAGGAGACACAGAAGTTTGCCCATTCCTTACTGAATGGAGGCTTCAACACGCGACAACCTTGCTGACGGAGATGGAAAGCCGCAAGAGGTCATCCTGAGGAGTTGAGAAATTTCAGCAATATGACATGTAATTTTTAGAGTCCAAACTACTGGTAGCTTCTTGTTGCTATTGTCAAATTAGCTACTAATGGCGATGCGATGCCCTTGTTCCTAGTAGCGATGCACTTGTTAAGAGTCCAAACTTATCCAACCTGAAGTTGTTTGAGTCACCCCCGATTTCTCGTCCACTTTCCGGTTTGTAGAATTACAAGCGTCATTTGCACACCCATTGCTTACGAAGAATCGATTTCGCTGCAAAATCACACGACTGATTGTGCAAGTCTTCTTGGCAGCTATTCATGTCTGTGTGGACTGCAAGACAAACCATGCATCTCGGTGCTGAAATGCAAGAACTGATTCATATTTATATGCTCCAACTGCCAAGAATTCTCCGCACCTGCTGGAACATGCTTTGACCAAGATCTGTGGTAGTTGCAGCTTCCGGCCTTTTTTTTGCTGTCTGCAAAGCAGACCTTGCAAGAGAATACGGAATCCGGAGCTCTTAAATACTGCTTGCAGTGCTTGAGCCCTTCGGTCAAAAGAGACGCATCATCAGTGTTCTTTGGAAATCGCCGTTTGATAGCAGAATGTGTTGGGCACACCGCTTTGAACGCTCTCATTCTTTTAAGGCTTAGTTTCTTAGGACCATGACACTTTCTCCTAGGCAATGAGGCACGTGCTGCGACATGCTTGCTTGCTTCGAAAGGCAAAGGCTTGACTGGATCAAGCCAAATCTATCCAAATCTCAATATAACAGGAAAAAACAAACATTCAGGTGCATAGGGCATCATAAGAGCTGGCTTCAACACGGCACTGCGTGCCTTGCAGCCTTGTTGAGCATTATAAGTTATAAGTTATAAGTTATATATCTTAATTTCTTGCAACTTGGCTCACAGCAGACTACTGTACCATAAAATCCGTTTGAATCCGTTTCCGTGTTTCTGCATCCGTGCCATGCCGCGGCCGGACAGCGCGTTGGGTCACGGCCGAGCACCTCGCCTGGGCTCGAAAGGTTCAGTGTCAGAGGCGAGCGAGCCACGTGGGTCGAAGGTGGAGGACACGTTGCTCCAAGCAACAACGAAGGGTCGAAGGCACAAATGCATCGGATGGAATGCGCTAAAGAGTGACGGCTGTGGGTGGGGTGACTGGCTTTGTAGGCCAGGACCTAAGACCTCCAAAGTACACCAGGTGGTCTTAAAGTGTTTTATTAGCAACTTGCTGAGCAATGCTCTTGGGATGCACAGCAGACAAGATTTCTTCGTGCTGCATGTACAAATTTCGCTGTGTTGACACATCATGTGCCTTGACATGTTTTGAGTTCTTGTGTGGCAGACTTCAGTTTTGTCTATTTTTGTGGTCCATGCATTTTGTTCTAATACAATTGTGGAATGAACAATAAAATTGGTGCGCAGTCCACGGTCCCTTGTCAAAGCGCATCCATGAAGCCGGAGGATGTTTCCGAGATTGCACGTCGCTTTGAGCATCACTTGAATGGGTTGGCAGCGACGTGCCTGGCTGGCATAGAGAAAGATGTTGTGGTTACTATAGCAGCAGCTTCTCAAGCAATGTCTAGGTTTGAATCTTCAGGACTCATGACTACGCCGACTACGCCTAGGTTTTATCAGTTGCAGACCCACAAGCACGAGCATGCTGAGTTACTTCCTCTTGGAACTACATTTTGCATGTCCCTTAGCCGCAGACAGCAACAAACGCCGTCACACTTTCTTGATCCCTCGGAAATGAGCCGCCTTCAGAAGGATAGAGATGGAGAACTCAGGGGTTTAAGAAAGCTGCCCCTTTTGACCCAAGCAAAGAACGGTGTTATCATCTACCACAAAGTGAAGGCAGCTGCAAGACTTCTAAACCGCTCCTGTTCCACATTTGGACTCACCCCTCTCGTGTTTGGTAGCAGACAGCACGTGTGTTTGCTCACACAGGTGCAGACATATTTTCTAAGGCGACCTTCCAAGGCCTTGGATGTTGCAAAGCAGCACGCGATTCGAAGACTTTCAGAGAACAGTCCGCACGTGAACCATGCCATGTTCCAGGAGCCTCTTTACTGTGGACGTTCTCATGTTTGCTGCTTTGCGTGGCTCCAACTAATGATGCAGTTTGGGGAGCACAGAGTCGTTACTTTGATTCCTGGGAGATGTTAGGAGGATGTGGGATGCAGAATGACTGATCACACTGGCTCATGCCTGTGAAACTTGCAGGACTTGATTGTTGACTCCGATGAGTGTGATGCACCCAGCACTAGATGTAAGAGCATCCAGGAAATGTAAGATCGTAAGGATTCTGCGATATCACCTGAAACGGCTTTCTTGAGCTCTAATTACATTTCTTAAAAAGATAAAACCACCATCAAGCAGACGCGATGCAATCCCAGGGCAAAATGGTGAATTGGCCCTGGTGAACGCTCAAGGCAGTTCAGAGAAGGTACCTTGGGACTCGGATTGAGGGGACAACATCAGGTGTAAGCAGCTGCTTAGTCAACAGGGTGATTTCGTAGCTGTTCCATCATTTTTGTTTTGTCTTAGTATGCCGCCCTTCTTTGTTCCCTTCACTTTCCACCGTCACAGGAGAGGTTCTGTGCTACAACACTTGCAAGTATAAAAACAACTTTTCAGAGAGCAAGAACGTGCAAGACTCAAAGATGGCAAAAGTGTTCGAACAAGTCTCTAGATTTTTTTAAACGGTGTTTTGACCCGTCAAGTTTTCCCTTACTGCAAGATCGACGCAATTCTCTCCAGGCTCGAGAGATACTGAAGAGGCAGTACAAGGCAGCGTGTTTCACCCAGATGGCTTGTCAAAAGCAATCTGCAAAGTAGCATGGAGTCTTTAGAGGTCCTGAGAAAGCAAAGGTTCAGAATCCTAGTTTTCAGCAAGAAGAGCAGTAGCATATGCACCACAGCGTTTTTGAACACAGGCGCGTTGCTTGCATGCTGCCCCTTTTCCGCATGCACTGGTACACATAGGGACTGACCCACTACCTCCCAACACACCAAGGCATGTGCTTGCACATACAAAAATACAACCATCCATCAGCGCAAGCACCACATGTTCAATCAGCCATGGAAGAGGTTTGACATTTGAATCAGTGTAAAACCGGAATTGGGACGTGTACACTTGCAATGCCTCATGGAAGTCAACAGATATGTTTCAAGGCTGCAAACAAAGAAGAGGGAATCTCTAAGCAGGATTTCAGCTTGCTTTTGATGTCCGCTCAAAAGCATGTTGAACAACCACCTAGCAAAATCTTTGAGGCTGCTGATGAGGATCAGCAGCCGCAGTGTGTACGTGAATATCAGTGAAACATAAAGACGCAGACCCCACTCCCCGAATGCGAGCCACCAAACTGCAAGCAGGCGCAGTTCATACGCCTGGATAAAGCTGGAAATGGACACCTCGAGGAAGAGGATCTGATGGCAGACCCTCAGCTTAGCAAAGGTAGTCGAACCCTGCTGCCAGACTAGCATGGGCCACAGACCATTGGCCAATGGTTTTGATGAATTGTTGCAGTTCCTGCGTTTCTTTATATGAATTCTATGGATGCAAAGGGTGTTTAATTGAGCCCTCGGACCTTAGAAAGACATTCTTCATGTATTTCATCCGTTTTGCTCAATGACCTTGTACTTGTCAGCCACCCTTGCACCCGTTGACTCAAGTTGACACAGAGTCCACATTTTCTTTTTGCCCGCCCTTACTTAATTGAGTAGGTGGCTACTTAATTAAGGAGGTAAGCTGCTAGCAATAGGAAGTTCCTAGCTAGGACGCAGGATAGCTCACGCTTCTTCAAGGAAGCTCCCCGGCCTGAGGGCGGGGGTAGCTTCCTTAAAGAAGCGCTTGCATCACTTAGTTTGTCAGTTTCTCAGGTGATGCAGACCTTCAACCGTGGTTGGGAACTCGAAGACATCCATGCACTCCTGCGCGAAGTCAATAGGCCATCGCCTTCGCATCGATAGCATTGATCGGATGGTTGGCTTTTGGGGCAGGGTTTGACAACAGCAGAAATTCATTTGAACAGATAAATTGCTTGTGCAACACGCTCATCCAGAAACTGTTGCATGACTTCACATGTGACAAAGAGATTTGTGTCACATTTGCGTTTGCAGCCATGTGGCTAAGAACTACGAATCTGCTGTAATCTGCCATGACCTGAACATGGGGAATCAGTCGGCTCAGTCGGCATGGCGTTCCGATGTGAAGAGGATTACATGTGGCTTCCAGCCTTTGGTGAGGATGAGAAGAATTGGCCCAACGGCTTGAGGATTTTCCTCTATGTCCTTGGGCTCTTTTATTGCTTCTTAGGAGTGGCAGTGGTTTCAGATGTCTTTATGAATGCCATCGAAAGAATCACGTCCCAGAAGAAGCGAGTTCGTCTCAAATCCACCGGGAAGATCGTCACCCAAACAGTGTGGAATGACACCATGGCTAACCTCACCCTGATGGCTCTTGGCTCCAGCGCACCTGAAATCCTTCTCAGTGTCATTGAGATCATGAGCAACAACATGTATATTGGAGACCTTGGCTCAGGGACCGTCGTGGGCAGTGCTGCATTCAACCTCTTGGTCATCAGTGCAGTTTGTGTATGTGCGATTCCTGATGGAGAAGTTCGTTACATCAAAGATACCTATGTCTATGCTGTAACAGCAACCTTTTCAATTCTCGCCTATGTGTGGCTCCTGTTGATCTTGATGGTGATTTCTCCAGATGTCTGTGAAATCTGGGAGGCGGTTGTGACGTTCCTTTTGTTTCCACTTCTCTTGGTTTTGGCCTTTGCAGCCGATAAGGGCTATTGCTCTAGCAAGGAAAAGGAGGAGACCGATGAGAACTTCCATGGAGCCATCCCACCAGACGTCACCAAAGAGGAGCTTGCTGAGATTGAGCAAGGGATCCGTGAAGAGTATAATCACAAGATCTCCGATGACCAGCTGGTCAGGGTCATACAGCATATGTACCAAGGCAGGGTTTGACCTCGATCTGATCCATGGCTTGAGCACTGATTCTTGCATCGTGTACACATATCATTGGTTTGCTTGTACAGTGTTGCTTGAGGGTCCTCCCTGACAGGAAAGCCATCACGGGCATTCTACCGACACGCTGCCATGGAGGGGATTGTGGGTGGCAAAAGGGCCGATTTTGGTGGCCATGCCCCACCCAACCTGGTCACCACTCCTCACACAGCTGATGAGCTCAAGATGTCTGGAAAGGTGGTGGAAATCGGTTTCGCCACCGACCGCTATGCATTTCTCGAGTCTTGCTGTATGGCCAAGGTGGTGTTGGTGCGTGCAGGTCCTCCAGAGCCTGAAGTGAGTGTCCAAGTGAAATCAAGGGAGGGAACAGCCAAGGAGCACTCTGACTACAAGCCTGTGGATGACATTATCACCTTTGCTCCAGGTGAGATCGAGAAAGAGTATTTTGTGGAAATCATTGATGATGCTGCGTACGAAGAAGACGAGGAGTTCTACCTCGAGCTTTCAGCTCCTTTGTGCAAGGACCCATCGAGTGATTTTAAGGTGCGAGTCCGCCAATCCCTTGGCACCGTGACCATGATCATTGTTGATGATGATGAGCCCGGAAAGCTTCGATTCCAGCAAGAGCAGGTCGAAGTGAAGGATGCTTATCTAAATTCCTTTTGCTTTGCTTCTGAGTAGCTTCTATCCTAGTAGCTTCTTGTTACTAGTAGCGGTGGCCCCAACCTACTTGCGATGGCCTCCACCCATAAAATAGCATCCCGGACCCTATTCATTCCTTGCCTTTCTTTTTGACTCTTTGGAGCCTTCTTTCGTTGAGGAGAGGGAGCACGAGACCACGTTACAGATCGTTGTGGAGCGTTTCAACGGGGCTATAGGAGACAGCTTCATCTTGCTTGGTGTTGGTCGCTTCGCCTTCTTGGGGGATCTTCCTGAATAGATCTCATATGATTTCAGAGGTTTTCATATGATTTCATTTATAGTAATTCACAGATCACTTCACAGATGATCATTTAGGATTTTCACTGCCAAACTCCGGGCCATGCCATTGGTTTTCTGACAGCTCTAGAAAGTCCATGTTACAATTCCCTGAGTGGATTTCCGGAGTCTCCCGAGAGGACCCATCGAGTGCCGCTACTATACAGAGGATAACTCGGCGATTGCCGGTTATGATTATGAGCAGGCCTCAGGACTCGAGTCTGCTGGAGCAACGTTTTCGTCTCGTTTCCACAGGTTGGAAAAGACAAGAACACATAGTCCTTTGTCCTTTGTCCTTTGTCCTCCTCCTCCTCCTTCTTCTTCTTCTTCTTCAAAGTTGCAACAATATATTTCTATCCCACTTCCTATATTTGCCGTGGTTTGCAGCACATGCACTCTGAGGTGTTTGGCCATGGTCGTTCCTAGGCCCTAAGTCGTTCCTAAGAGCGCTCGACGAGGTGTCGTTCAGTCCATGGTGTGGCGTTTGTGCACAGTTGGGGAGGTCACTGGTGGCTGAAGCTGTTCTGTCCATCGCTCTTAGGTTGGAGGCCATCGCTAGCAGGTTGGAGGCCAGG